CCCCCCCCCCCCCCCCCCCCCAAACAAACGCATCAGGGCAGGCATCGACATTCATCCTGACGCTACAGGGAAGAACACTACGGCCATCCTGAATGTTCAGGTCTTTACAGATAAAAACATCCTGTGTGTTAAACTATATTTGATGTTGCATGTTGTAGGCTACAGTGGGTAGCCACTAAGGGGTACAACCCCTTTAGGGTTTCATACTTGTATCACATTCTTGTCTTAGTTGATCCATTCTAGTCTATTATTCTGACATGGTATTAAGAGCTATGGGTCCTTAGGACCTAAGTTTCTTCATCGGGCCCACCTGTTACGGCGTTACCCCACTGCCTTACCCGAGTCGCGCTGCCCCTGTTAGCCGCGCGCCACTACTGCAGCGCGAAATTTTTATCGCGCTGCTCTGCCTGCCCCACCCCGCGCGCCCTGCTGGCCGCGTCGCGCTGCTGTCGCATCGCCCCGCCGCCCGCGCGCCTGCCCTGCCCGTGCGCCGCCCGCCGCCGCGCACTGTCCTGCCTGTGCGCAGCCCGCCGCCGCGCCACCTGACCTGCCCGTGCGCAGCCAACCGCCGCGCCACCCTACCCTGCCCGTGCGCAGCCCTCCGCCGCGCCACCTGCCCTGCCTGTGGGTAGCCAGCCGCCGCGCCACCCCTACCCTGCCCGTGCGCAGCCCGCAGCCGCACCACCTGCCCTGCCCGTGCGCAGCCAGCCGTCGCGCCTCCCTGCCCTGCCCGTGCGCAGCCAGCCGCCGCGCCTCCCTGCCCTGCCCGTGCGCAGCCAGCCGCCGCGCCTCCCTGCCCTGCGCGTGCGCAGCCAGCCGCCGCGCCACCCTACCCTGCCCGTGCGCAGCCCGCAGCCACGCCACCTGCCCTGCCCGTGCGCAGCCAGCCGCCGCGCCTCCCTGCCCTGCCCGTGCGCAGCCCGCCGCCGCGCCACCTTGCCCTACCCGTGCGCGGCCCGCAGCCGCTTCCTCCCCTGCCGGCCGCCCCTAACCCAGTGAGCGCTGCCTCCTGCTGCCCTGTGCACGCATCCTGCCGCTTGCCCTGCGCTACCAACGATGGCGACTTACAATGTTCTCACCTTTGACGCAGAGGGCCGCCCGATCGAATTTGAAACCTGGTTAGACGACCTTAGGCTCTACCTTCAGTGCGAGTCTAAGGATCGTGTGTCCCTGTTCGCTCATACGTCTGGTAGCGCTGCCATCCCTGCAGACACTGCTGACGCTGACACTCGTGACCAGTGGCTTATTCGCGACGCTGCTGCTCGCCTAGCTGTGCGAAACCACCTACCGCTAGCCGAGCGCGTGCACTTTAGCCAACAAAAAACCGCCAAGGGCCTGTTCGACGCAGTCGTAGCTCGCTACAGCTCGCCTGCCACTGCTGCGCTAGGCCGTCTTATCCTGCCCTACCTCTTTCCTGACCTGTCCGCCTTTCCTACAGTCGCTGATCTCATCACCCACCTCCGCACTAGCGACGCTCGGGTGCGTGTTGCGACCCCTGCCGACTTCCTCACCAAGAACCCTCCCCCTATCCACTACACCCTCTATCTCCTAGTCACTCGCCTCCCTGACTCTCTTCGCGCTGTCAAGACACCTTCCTCGCCATGGACCCCACTGAGCTCACTATAGACCTCCTCGAAAAGCACCTTACAGCGGCCGAGGTTAGCATTAACGCTGCTGTGGGCGCTTCTCGAGGCACTCCTCGCACCCCCTTCTTCGAGGGGTGTTCCCCCTCTCCCCTCCTCCCCTCTGTCGCCACTGCTGCTGCTGTCGACCTCCTTGGTGCTGAGGAGGTTGGGGCTGCGTCTGCTTCCAGTGGCAGGCGCCGCAGCGGCAAGGGGAAGGGCGGCAAGGGTGGTGGGGGTGGTGGGGGTGGAGGCGGTGGTGGAGGCTCGGGTGGTGGCGGCGGGGGTGGTTGGAGCGGCGGGGGTGGGGGTGGGGGTGTTGGGGTCGGTGGTGGCGGCGGCAGTGGGGGTGGCAGTGGCGGAGGTGGCGGCGGTGGGAGTGGCAGCGGAGTCGGTGGCGGTGGTCGCAGTGGTGCGGCCCAGCACTACGATTCTTGAGGCAGCCAGGCACAGCAGCAGCAGCGCCAGCGCCTGCCCCGTACGCCGCAGGACCTTCGTGAGTGGTACGCGCAGCGTCAGTCGCCTGGGGGTGGTGGTACCTGCCCGTATGTCATTCGTACGGGTGAGCGTGCTGGTCAGACCTGCGGGAGGTTGCACACCCAGCACCGCTGCTTTTCCCGCCTTAGTGACGCCTGGCGTGCTCAGTTTCCTGACTGCTCTGAGATGCCCAACTGGACTAAGCTGCTTAGGAGGGGAGTAAAGAACTTTGATCTTGACTATGATGCTATCCTTGCTGCCATGAATGCGTTGACTGTTAGTGCTGAGGGTGACTGTTACCTGTGTGTTCCGCCAGACCCTGGTATAGAGGCTGCTGCTCCAGGTGCTTGTGAGTCTGTTGCCCTGGGTGCTTGCGAGTCTGCTGCTCTAGGTACTAGTGAGTCTGCTCACTCAGGTGTTGCGCCTACAAAGGCCTTGTACACTTTCACGCTAGACTCAGGTGCCTCCCGCTGCTTCTTCCGCGACAGCACCACAGTCACACCGCTCTCTGCACCTGTTCCGGTCTCCCTTGCTGACCCCTCCGGGGGACCTCTCCTTGCACGTTTCTCCACTGTCCTCCCCTGTCCGGCGGTCCCGTCTGGCTCACTTACAGGTCTCCACCTCCCCTCGTTCTCTACGAACCTGGTGAGTAACGCCGTCATCCAGGATGAGTGGGTTGACACCTTCACCCCTGGAGGACGTCGTGTGGCGATCTGCACGTGTGCCCGCACGGGCCGCCACCTGGCCACGTTCACCCGTCGGCCTGGGTCGAGTCTGTACACCCTGACTGTCGGGTCTCCCCAGGTTGCTGCTACTGGTCAGGTGTCCTTGTCCGGACCGGAGTCTGCCCCTTGCTTGTGTCGTCGCCTGTCGCACCAGACTCTCCTCTGGCACCACCGCCTCGGTCACCCCTCTCTGCCGCGCCTCCGTGGCATGCACTCCCGTCTGCTTGTCTCTGGTCTTCCCCAGTCGCTGCCGTCACTCCCATGCTCGCCTGCCCCGCCGTGTCTCCCTTGTGTCGAGGGGCGGCAGCGCGCCGCTCCTCACTCCTCCTCGTTTCCTCCGACAGACGCTCCCCTGCAGACTCTCCACATGGATGTGTGGGGCCCAGCCCGCGTCCGGGGACAGGGCCGCGAGCAGTACTTTCTGCCAATTGTTGACGACTACTCACGGTACACCACGGTCTTCCCCATGCGCAGCAAGGGTGAAGTCCCTGCTGTCTTGATCCCTTGGATCCGCGCTGTCCGTCTCCAGCTCCGCGACCGTTTCCAGACGGACTTTCCCGTCCTACGTCTGCACTCTGACAGAGGTGGTGAGTTTTCCTCCGACCTCTTGCGGGACTTTTGTCAGGGGGAGGGCATCCTCCAGTCGTTCACGCTTCCGGCCTCTCCACAGCAGAATGAGGTTGCTGAGCGCCGCATTGGCCTAGTCATGGAGATCGCTCGCACCTCCATGATCCATGCGGCTGCTCCCCACTTTCTGTGGTCGTTTGCGGTCCGGTACGCTGCGCATCAGCTCAACCTCTGGCCCCGTGTCTCCTTGTCGGAGACCTCGCCCACACTGCGTTGGACGGGGAAGGTTGGCGATGCGTCGCGCTTCCAGGTGTGGGGTGCTCGTGCCTTTGTCCGCGATACCACCGCGGACAAGCTCTCCGCTCGCGCCATTCCCTGCGTCTTCCTTGGCTTCCCTACTGACGCGCCTGGCTGGCAGTTTTACCACCCCACCTCGCGCCGTGTTCTGTCCTCTCAGGACGTCACGTTTGACGAGTCGGTTCCCTTTTACCGTCTCTTCCCCTACCGCACTGCCTCTCTCCCCCCCCCCGCCGCTCTTCGTCGCTCCAGGTCCGCCCCCGGTAGACCCCCTCCCCCCTCAGGGTCCTGCTCCCTCAGGTGTTTCCCAGGTAGACCCCCCTCCCCTGGTTGAGCCTGTCGAGGTCACTGGTGACTCTGGTGCTGCTAGAGGAGGTACTGCTAGGGGTCCCGAGTCTGGGGATGCTGAGCCTGCGGGTGCGGGGCCTGAGGGTGCTGAGCCTGCGGGTGCGGAGCCTGGGGGTGCTGAGCCTGAGCGCGTGGAGCCTGGGGGTGCTGAGCCTGAGCGTGAGGAGCCTGGAGGTGCTGAGCCTGGGGGTGCTGAACCTGAACGTGAGGAGCCTGGAGCTGCTGAGCCTGGGGGTGCTGTGCCTGAGCGTGAGGAGCCTGGGGGTGCTGAGCCTGGGGGTGCTGAGCCTGGGTCTGGTCGGCAGGAGCCTCTCTCCCCGCAGCAGCTGCGTGAGTGGTACACTCGACGCTACTGCCGTTCGCGTGGCGCTGCTGGTGCTGGGGGCTCGGCCACTGGAGCTGCTGGAGCTGCAGGCACTGCTGGTGGTACCGCTTCTGGGGCTGGAGGTGCTGGGACTGCTGGACCTACTGACGCTGCTGGTGCTGGAGGAGCCCCTGGTGCTGTTGGTCCCGGAGGTGCTTGTACTGAAGGTGCTGGAGCTGCTGGGGCTGGTGGTGCTGGTCCTGGGGCTACTGGAGCCGTCTGCCCTGCCGCTGGAGACGCTGGAGCTGGAGACACTGGGACTGGAGGTCCTGGTGCTGGAGGTGCTGACGCTGGAGTTCCTGGTGCTGGAGCCTCTGGGGCGGGAGGAGTTGGAGCTGGTGACGCTAGTTCTAGAGGTGCTGCTGCTGGTGGTGCTGCGCAGCGGCGTCTGTTCTTCACTCCGCCGTCGCCATTGTCTCTCCCACCGCCTGACTCCGTGCTTCGTCAGGTTCTTACCTCCCATCTTCTATTGGTTTTCCGCTACCGCCTGGCTCTCCGCTGCCTGCTCCTTCTCCTTACACTGAGCAGACAGACTCGCTTACAGAGCGTCGTGAGCCTGCGTCTCATCCTGCCTCGCCTGTTCGCGCCGCTCGCACTGCTCGCCGTGTCCCGCGTCCGCCACCTCCTCCTGTGTCGGGCACTCACACCGTGGCACTTCGTCCCTCCTCTGCTCCCCTGCGCGTCCCACTGCAGTCTCCTCCTGCGTCCTCTCTTCCTGAGCTTCCTGACCCTGAGTCTGACGCTGTTCGTGCTGCTAGTCCCATCGTCACGCGTCTTCTGGCTACTATTGTCACTGACCCGTCGTTTGAGTCTGCTGCTGCGTCTGCCTTGGTTGCTGAGCTTGTTGACTTTGCTGTTGTGTGTCGACTTGACTACGCTGCCAGTCTTGTTGCTGAGTCTGAGTCTGTCTGTCCTCCGTCCGTCGAGGGTGAGTGTGCTCTTGGCACGGACGTCCTTGAGGACAGGCAGGAGGAGCTCGACTGTCTTGCGGCTGCTGTACCTCATCTCGTGGCCTGGCTGCTTGCCCCTGAGGGAGACCTGGATGCACCAGACATCCCGACCCCGTGCTCTTACGCAGAGGCGATCTCGGGTCCGTACCCCTTTCAGTGGCAGACAGCCATGGACGCAGAGATGGCATCCTGGAAGTCCACAGGCACCTACATCGACGAGGTTCCCCCTCCTGGGGCGAACATTGTCGATGGCATGTGGATTTTCAGGGTGAAGCGGCCGCCGGGTTCTCCGCCTGTCTTCAAGGCTCGTTACGTTGCACGAGGCTTCAGTCAGCGAGAGGGAGTTGACTTCTTCCAGACCTTCTCCCCCACCCCGAAGATGACCACTCTTCGGGTGCTGCTGCACATTGCCGCTCAGCGTGACTACGAGCTTCACTCTCTTCACTTCAGCACAGCGTTCCTGCAGGGCAGCCTGCACGAGGAGATCTGGCTGCGCCGCCCTCCTGGCTTCACTGGGTCGTTCCCTCCTAGTACCCAGTGGAGCCTCCGGCGGCCAATCTACGGTCTCCGCCAGGCACCTCGTGAGTGGCACGACACATTGAGGACGACACTTGCGGCTCTTGGGTTTGCTCCTTCGACTGCAGACCCGTCGCTGTTCCTCCGCACCGACACGTCGCTGCCGTCGTTCTACATCCTCGTGTACGTCGACGACCTGGTCTTTGCTACTGCTGACACTGAGGCACTTGCTCTTGTGAAGTCGGAGCTGCAGAAGAGACGCACGTGCACAGACCTGGGTGAGCTGCGCAGCTACCTTGGCTTGCAGATCACCTGGGACAGAGCACGCCGCACCATCACCTTGACTTAGTCACACATGGTGCAGCACGTCCTTCAGCGCTTCGGCTTCCAGTTCTCCTCACCACAGTCCACTCCTCTGTCTACCAGTCACTCGCTCTCAGCTCCACCTTCGGACGAGTCCGTAGAGCCGAGTGGCCCGTACCCAGAGCTTGTGGGCTGCCTCATGTACCTGATGACTTGCACACGACCTGACCTTGCGTACCCTCTTAGCATCCTGGCTCGCTACGTTGCGCCTGGGAGGCACAGGCGAGAGCACTGGGAGGCTGCTAAGAGGGTGCTGCGCTACTTGTGCAGTACATCAGGCATGGGGCTGGTGCTTCAAGGACGGGGTGACGTTGTCCTCACTGGACACTCAGACGCCTCTTGGGTTGACGACCTGGCTACGCAGCAGTCGTCACAGGGTTACACCTTCAGCCTTGGTTCTGGTTCTGTCTCTTGGCGGTCTACCCGTTCGTCTTCTGTTCTCAGCTCCAGTTGTGAGGCTGAGATCTACGCCACAGCCATGGCAGCCCAGGAGCTACGCTGGCTCACTTACCTGCTGACTGACTTGGGAGAGCAGCCGCGTTCTCCTCCAGTTCTGTACGGCGACAACAAGGCAGCCCTTGCCTTGTGTCAGGAGCACAGACTGGAGCATAGGACAAAGCATACCGTATAGTTCCGGCTAGAAGACCCGCCGGTAAGAAGGTCCCCCGGGACTCTTGAACGGGTAGGGGGACTCTTATTGTGGCAGATATTGTGAGGACCCCCCCTTGGCCTCTAATAATCATAAGGCCCCCCCCCTTCCCTGAAGTGCCATTTTCAATCTGGTGCATTAGATGGTTGAACTCACACACACAACACTACACTGCTTCCACCCTAAAACTAGACATTACGAGGTCAAAAGTGGCTACCAATCTACCATCTTTCAATCTTGAAAAGTCCCATACATCTCTACCACTCCCCTACTCCTCACTCCTTGTCCACATTCTCCTCCAGCCCACCCTCCTCCTCCTCCTCCTCCTCTTCCTCCTCCTCCTCCTCCTCCTCCTCCTCCACCACCATTTCCTCCTCCTCCTCCTCCTCCTCCTCCTCCTCCTCCTCCTCCTCAGGGAGGTCCCCGGCATCCTCGGCATCCGCCACCTTTGCCGCCTCCTCGTCATCTGCGGCGGTTGCATACAGGGGGTTCACCCACTCCTCCACTTCAGGGAGGGTGTGCACGTCCTGTGCCACCTCGACCTCGCCCGCATCGCGCATGTGGGCCAGGACGAGGTAATCCTGCTTCCCGTCGACAGAGTTGCTGATTCCGGTGGTGAGAAAGGCCTTCTCGATGATGTGCTCGGGGACCGCCGCCCAAGCGGCGGCAATCCACTTGAGCACCATCTCGGCAGGGGGCTTCTTCAAGTTCCCTGCCACGCAGAGGGGACATACAGAACGAAGCACGGGGGGAGACATGAAGTACTGTACACAGACGGGTTAGAACAAGCACACGCGCAATCGGCCCACTCACCGGCTTTCGTGAACGTGTTGATGCCGATCTCGGCAAACCACTCGTTGTACATCTCACGCAGCAACGCCTTGAATGAGCGGTTCACGCTCACGTCAAGGGGCTGCAGCAGAGGTGTGCAGCCCCCTGGGATGATGGCCGGGATCACCCGGTTCCACTTCAAGTTGGTGAGCACGCCATCGGTGAGGTGGCCCCGGTACGAGTCCAGGACCAACAGGGTCTTGGACCGTCGGATGCCACGCGGGGGCTTGATGAACGGCAGCAGGATGTTGTTCACCCAGTCGTCCACCAGCTTGGCGTCCATCCAACCCTTGGGTTGTGCACGGACGACGACTCCTGCACATGAACATCAAGTGTGGTTAGTCATCGCCCCCAAACATTCACGGAAAGGAAGCGTTTAACGGTTGCAACTCACCTGCAGGGACCCGAATCTTCGGGATTGTCTTGCGCTTAAAAATCACCATGGCAGGGAGCTTGCGGCCGTCAGCGCTGATGCCAAGCATCACCGTAACCCTCTCCTTCTCGTACCCCGCGCTCCTGACGTGCACCGTCTTCTCCCCGCGGTGATGAAGGGTGCGCTCGTTGGGCATCTCCAAAAACACCGGCATTTGGTCGGCGTTTATGATATTTTACATGTCGATGTTGTGCTTGATGATGTTCTTGCGTGTGAACTCCCAAAACTCCAGGCACTTCGGCTTGCACTCTGCCACGAACGCACAAAATCAAATTCATAACAGATGAGCCACGGGCGTGGGTATAACATCGTCGTTACATGCATAACAGCACAAACAGAATGCTCTACGAGGCCGCGATACACACAATGGTCTTACCTTTTGCGAGACGCTGGCCAATTTTCGTCTTCACGCGGATGGAGAGTCCCATTCGCGCGCGGAATCGGTACGTCCACCTGTTGGACGCCATCCACCTCACGTCCGGGTAGTGGGCCTTCATGTAGACCCGGCTCCAGTGTTTGACGAGGCGGATCGGAACGGCCAAGCCACGGCCGCGGAAGTTCAGCATGTGCTTGTAGGCGTGCGCCTCCATGTCGGGGTACTTAGCCTTCCTCCCGCCACCACTGAGGCGCCGCCTGGAGCGCTCTGCGTTTTTTATCCGATCCGCCGCCCGAATCCACCGGCGAACACTGACCGGTTGCACCCCCGCCAGACGTGCCGTGTGGCGGATGGAGAGTTTCTCCGCGTCCATCCGCGCAAGCCAGTCTTGTTTCTCACCCATCGTGCGGGCCTTGCGACTGTGCGTAGTGGTGCGTGCGCGGGGACTCGGTGGCGCACCGTCCGGTCTGGACCGCGGACCGTTCTCGTCGTGCATGAGGTCCTCCGGGAAGCGCGGGATTGGGAAATTCCCGACGTCATAATTCACCTCGTCGTCACCCGCGTTGTCGTCATACCAAGCGGCTGCGGGTTGGGAAAACCCCTCGTTCTCGAGAGGGTCCAACGGAGGGTTGTTGCGCCAGTCGACCGAGCCTGGGGGAAGCACAGGGGGCGCAGGAGGCGCAGGAGGAGCCGGAGGGGCCGGAGGTGCGGGAGGTGCAGGAGGAGCAGGAGGAGCAGGCGGGGCCGGACTTGTGATGAGCACGATAGCAGGCTGGCCAGACGAACGGCCTAAGCTAGAACGGCGCGTACGCCATGGGCTCTCGTTAACATACATTGGAAGAAGCTGCTTGTGTTCTACTGGAGTTTGCTTGCTTGAGTGCCAGCTCCCATAGCGTGCTTTGTAGTCGGGTATGAAGCTAGAGTGGCAGAGTTGGATCTGAGACACAGAACAGAGAGTAATGAACCACCAGGGCTCCCGTGCTCGGCAGGCTGGAGACGTGAAACCGTAGTGCACCACGTCCCGTGCCTCTCTTGCCTATGAGATGAGATGGGCTGCTCGTAGGCCCTGTGACGTGGACATCTTGACGGTCGATTTAGTCAAGATGCTGCGCGGTGCGCGTTATGTGCCGTTCAACCCGCCCTCGTGCATTGTACCTCACCGCGTGTTGTTGTTCAAGTGTTTCAGCCGGCCTGAGGGATGGGCACCCCCAGGCATGAAGCCGCCGAGTGGTGAACGTGCACGAGGTGGCGCAGTGCAAGGTGCAGGTGCACAAGGTGAAGGTGCACAAGGTAAAGCCTCCCCTGGGATGTTCCTCATGGTTGAAGATGTGAAAGAGAGGGAGAGTGATGTGGGTTCGGTTGAGAAGGTTGTGATGCACCCCCTCACTCACTGGGTGATCGATTCAGGTTGCACAAGTCACATGACGCCACGTACAGATTTGCTTAACGAGGTAAAGCCCCCTAGGAAGATCAAATTTGTGGCTGCCGCTTCAGGTGCTTTGCTCCCTGTGACTGGTGTTGGGAATGCTAAGGTAATGGGAGCCAATGGGGAGCTTGTGGGGCTTGGGAATGTCCTGCTGGGTAAAGGTTTATCCGCTAACCTTCTCTCTGTGCGCCGGCTGCAGAAAAGCAAGGCCAAAGTCACGTTCGGCCCAACCAGCTGCCGTGCAAAGCTTGGGAAGTTGCTGCTATGGGATTTGGAGGAGAAGAGCAGCTGCATCAAGGACTTATGGCAGCTGCCCATCATCCCTTGGAATGGGAAACCACCAGCAACGGCAACGGCAGCGGCAGCGGCTAAAGCAACTGCAGGAGGAGAGGAGACTGCACCAACTGCTGGGGCCCTGGATGCAGTCAAGAAGGTGCAGCAGCCACAGCAATCACATGGTGAGGTGCTTGCTGGTGTGGATGCGACAGCTGCATGGGCAAAGGCTTCATCTGGGAGTGGTGAGGCCGATTGGGAGACGTGGCACGAGAGGTTGTGTCACATCAACATTCCGATGCAGCAGAAGTTGGTGAAGGATGGGAGCTTGAAGGGGCTGGAGGTGAAGGGGGCAGCAAAGGAGATTGGGAGCTGCCCTACATGCCTCGAGACGAAATTCACCAAGTTCCCCTTCAGCAGCAGCTCGGAACCAGCCAAGGCACCGCTCGCGCTTGTGCACATGGATGTGGTGGGGCCTACGAGGGCCCCTTCTCTCCCGGGCAGCCGCTATTTCTTGACCATTGTGGACAAACACACGCGTGCGGTGTGGGTGTACCCTCTGAAGACTAAGGGGGAGGTGGCAGCGGCTGTTCTTAAGGAGTGGATGCCGAGAGCACAAAGGGAGAGCGGACACAAGGTGAAGGTGATCCGCACCGACAACGGGGGAGAGTTCATTGGCAATGAGTTTGAGGCATTGCTGAAGAAGAAGGGCATTCAGCATCAGCTCACAGTGCCCTACAACCCTCAGCAGAATGGCGTGGCTGAGCGGTTCAACCGGACCCTGCAGGAAGGTGCTCGCACTCTCCTTGGGCGTGCAGGGCTGCCGGATCCGTTTTGGGTGACTGCACTGAGGCAGGTCGCTCTTGTGAAGAACAGGGTGCTGGCGACTGTGGGGGACAAGCAGTGGGTCCCCTACACCAAGTGGTATGGGAGTGCACCTGCAGTCAACATGCTGAGAGCCTACGGCTGCATGGTGGTGTTTCATGTGCCGAAGGAGA